GGAGCATTATAAATTATTGATTTTGAATGGTGAATTTTACAATTTTACATCTATCATTAAGATAAACAAAAAACACTACAAGAAAAGTGGGCTTAAAAGACGAAACTTTTTGCGATGGCACATTTGCTGTCACAAAAAATGTGACTTTTTGCGACGGTACAACTTGCTGTCGCAAAAAAAAAGAGTATTTGCGACGACAGAAATTGCTGTCGCAAAAAAAATAGAGTATTTGCGACAGCAGAGATTACTGTCGCAAAAAAATAGAGTTTTTGCGACGGCACCAGCTACAGTCGCAAAAAAGAAGAAGAGTTTTTTGCGACTGTAATAGGTACCGTTGCAAAAAAAAAAAAAAAAAAGTAAAATATATATATATATATATTGTGGCTTTGAGACGGCTTTATATATATAGTCACAAAATGGTTTAAATAAATGCCACGGTATTTTTCTGTCACAAATTTTTTTTTAAAAAAACGATGTCGTCTTACTCTTTTGATATAACATTTTTCTTTTCACCCATTTTTTCATCTTCCTGTCTCTCTGTCTCTATCTCTGTCTTTCTTCTCTTTTTCTCTCTCACTCATCACTCTTCTCTGTCTATTTGTCTCTCTCTTTCTCTATGTGTCTCTGTCTCTTTTCTCTTTCTCTCTCTCACTCATCACTCTTCTTTGTCTGTTTGTCTGTCTCTCTTTTTCTCTTTCTCTCTGCGTCTCTCGCCCATCTCTCTTCTCCCTATCTCTCTTCTCTCTCCCTTCTCTTTATCTCTCTCTGTCTCTCTCTTGTTTATCTCTTTTCGTTCTTTTTTTTTCTCTCTCTCTGTTTATCTCTCATTCATCTTTTGTTTCTCTCTCTCTCTCTCTCTCTCTCTCGTTCATCTCTCTTCTCTCTCTGTTTTTTTTTCTTCTATGTCTCTTTCCCGTTAATCTCTTTTTGCTTTCTTTCTCTCTCTTTTTGTTTATCTCTTGCTCATCTCTTGTTTATCTCTCTCTCTCTCTCTCTCTCTCTCTCTCTCTCTTTCTCTCTGTCTCTCTGTCTCTCTCACTCATCACTCTTCTCTCTTTTTGTTTGCTTGTCTGTTTGTTTGTTTGTTTGTTTGTTTGTCTGTCTGTCTCTCTCTCTCTCTCTCTCTCCCTCCCCCATTGTGTTCGCCTTGCTCACTCTCTCCTTCATCTCTTCTTTATTTATTGAGCTCCCTCTCGATTTATCGATCCACTATAAGAAAATGCACTTTTAGCGACCAATTTGTCTCTTTCTCGCTCATCACTCTGTCTCTTTCTTTGTCTCTCTATCTCTCTTCTTTATCTGTCTCTCACTCATTTCTCTCTCTCACCACGCATCTCCTTTACCACATTTATCACTACTATAAATGCCATTCGACTACCACCACTACTACCACTATTGTCACTCCACTTCTACAACTACCATTACTACCATCATCGCCACCACTCCACTACCACTACCACTACCACTACCATTACCTCTCCTCCACCACCGCCACTCCATCTCCTCTTCCACTACCACAACTTCACCACTAATCTCTTTCGCCATCACCACCACCACCACCACCATCACCACCTCTTGTCCACCACCTTCACCACTACTGCCACTCCCTCTCCTCTACCACAAAAAATTAGTTCTTGATTTTTAGTAACAAAAAAAAATTGGGTTGCAGAAAAATATTTTTCATTGACAAAAAAAAATTAACTTTATGTTAACGGAAAATATTTTTCATTAAAATATTACCCCTACTTCTACCAAATTAAAAAAAAATTATTAAAATAAAAATGAAACAAATAAATTTTCAACCTTAGTAACTAAAAAAATGAAAAACAAAAAAAAAATTCATTAACTACAAAAAAAAAAAAAATATTTTAACAAAAAATAAAGTTTTTTAGCGACGACAACTCCCGTCGCAAAAAAAAAAAAAAGAAAAAGAAAGTTAAACGGCGCCATTTTGTTGTTTAAATATTCATTTGTGACGAAAAAAAATAAAAAAATAAAATAGTATGAGGCTTAGCCATTTTTTTTCCATTCCCGCTTGGTTTTCCCTCCTCAACCAAAAATCCCCAATCTCAAAAACTAAAAATCCCTAATCTCTTCTTATGGCTCTCTCTCTCTCTCTCGAGATGGCGAGCGGTGGCAGACGACTGTGAGGACCGTGAAAGAGAGAAAGGAGGAGTATGACAGGGCACAAGCTCGCATTTTCAGCAGCCCCAATAGCCCTGAGCCAGAAGTTTCTGTGTCTCAGGCTCCATTTGATGGGAAGAATATGTATCCAAGTGGAGATGATAATAAAGTTTGCAAGATTTCCATGATTGATTTAGAGAAAACCCTCACCATTGGGGATGGTGGTACTTCTTCCCGAGTTGCCATTCTCAAAGATAGGGAGAAAGATCGTATTGACCCAGATTATGACCGGAGTTATGAAAGGTATGTATTCATTTATGTATCTGAATTGGAATGGGGTGAGTTATTTGGGTGATGGGTATAAATGTCTTCTAGATATCTTTATTTTACATTCTTGTTTTTCAGTGGCATCTTTATGAAATCTGTCAAACTAGCCTTCACCCACATTGTATATACAAGAGTTGGAATTTATTGCTTTAATAATCGGATTTTACCTTTCTTGAAGAACCTCCATATAGATGAGGTGCATTTGAGTCTCCTTTAGAGCAGGCATGTCATTATAACAACATTATTAGATTTATTCTGTAGTTATTTTTTTGTACTTTTATCTTTCTGAGTTATTTGGTTAAAAACTCACCTATATTGTTATTTTATCCTAGTGATGTTATTCATTGGTTTGTATCATATTTGAAAATTTTAAATGCTGTTTTTGAAGTAAAATACATCTTTTCTAATTAACATTTGAAATTTGCCAATTGGGGAATGAATGGATTTTGGGTTTGTTGATTACATTTGAAATTTACCATGATGGATACAGTGATACCTATCACCTAAATAACTCATATTTATGCAGTGTTTCTTAACTGAAAATTCAAAAGAATTATAGTTTATTTATTATTTGCGTAGCTGCATACAAAAGGAATTAATTATGGCATCTACTGGATAACATTTTTTTTGGATGTATTTCCCTTTCTTTTGAAAACAAAAAATGTGACTTTTATTTTTAAAATATGTTAAACCAGCAAATCTACATTGTTTGTAGCTGCTGGTTGTAGACGCATCCCTTCAGGCTGTGCTTACTACAGTTCGGACTCAAATGTCACGGTTCTTAATCTGATCTCACAATGTACGATGTGAGATTGATAAATCACCAAAGAGTCTAACTCCGGCAAATCGTTTTGGAAAACTGATTTTTGTAAAGAAGTGCCAAACATGGATTGCTTTGCCAGATACAGAATCGCCACCTAAATATTTTATTTTGGGGGAATTTAGGAAACCCTGACTCGTGCCTAAGGCCACATATCCGCCATCACCAAAGTTGCCTCAGCTCGGGAACTTGGGTACGATTGGGGAAGGTCATTTAATGAGCACCCCCGCTCGTCCGATCAAAGATCGGCCTGTACTAAGCATGATATCTTATTTTTGAAAACACATGTGTTCTTATTCTGGTTAATTAGCTAATCTTACTACGTGATGCGCATAACAAACAAGTATAGACTAGATCGCCTAATTTGGAACAAAGCATTGCATATCTGTTTGTTCGGAAAATAGTTTGAAGTTTGCTACTCGCAAGTAGGCTAAAATGCGGATTTCAATGAATTATTTCAATTCAAGTAATCCAACCTTCACCCACAGGCATTCAGGCAGTTAATCACGTAAGCAAATAGCCTTATGGCAAGCATGCTTTCATGGCAGTCAATAACACACATGCAGTATGCTAAAGCGTAAACACTCATAGTGTACTCCAAGCCAAAACAGAGAACTAGCTAGAAATCATACATGATCCTAGTTCATGTTGAGATGGCCAATGCAACACATGTAAAAATGTAGCTAAGATAGGCTCGGCTATCTTAAGATGTCATGTGAGATGCAACTTGGTAACATGTTGTTGAACACGTATTCAAGTAATGTATTGAAAATACAATGTAGTTAGTATGATGCGTCGAGCCCGGTGCATGCAATACAGATGAATGGATGCAAACGTGCGAACATAAGGTATGCTAAATGAAATATGCCCTAAAACTAACCATCGTAAGTGGTTAAGTAAAAGGGAGAAAGAAATGGGGATTGAAAGACATGCATCATACATACGCACGCTTATTACAACAATTGGCTCTTTCAAGGGAGAGACCGAATAAGAAGCTAACTAGCTAATCTAAGCTAATTAAACTAATTATTACAAAACGAATTGAAATAGCTAAACGCATTAACGATTAAAGGGACAGACCAAAGCAAAACCTAGCTATCTAAGCATAGCAGCTAAGGAAAGCAGTAAATAAGGAGCCTCAGAGGTAGAGGAATGCATGCATGTCCAGTCGCCTTGTTCGGAAATCCAACGCGATGCCCCGATTTGCCTCTGTTTTCATTTGTTTCTCAGAAACTTGCACCAAGCTCCAGAAAGCTTAAACTCCACCTTGGGAGACCTGTGGGAGGGTGGCTGACCACTTTTGGTCTCTCCAGACACCTGCCGACCACTTTTGGTTGTTGAAAAACCAGAAAAGTGGTCGACCAGCTAGTTTTTCTGGCTGGCCGACCAGTTGTTGCTGTTGAACTGCAATTTACTGCAACAGAGAGCAAGAAAGGGTATGGCAATGTATTTGCAAGATATGTGTGCACAACCACCCTCCCTATCATGCCATAAACTCAAGGGAGTGTAGGTTCTCGACTATCAGGCCACCAATCGCGCATTTCAATGCATGATGGCCGAGAGGCGAAGTTGCATAATTCAATATGAAATGAATGTACAAGTAAACACATAAAGCCTAAAACTCTATCATGGATGATCAAGAGCATCAGCGACCGGGAATTAAGGCACGTTTCATCACTTTAAGTATGAAACGTCCCTCGTTTCTCGTGTTTGGACTAAGCAAGCTTAAGAACAACCTCGATAGCCAAACCCTAGCTTCCCACCTGCAACATCATAGACCACATCCAAAGTCTTCTGCTGTGCATTTCCGAAAATAACCAAATCGGAGGAATTACTATTTCCGAGGAACGCCAAGCAGGCCTTGGACGAACTTGCAATGAAGAGTATCCCCGAGTAGTCAAACACAACTTCGATGTTGCCGCCGAACACAGCTTATACTCGGTATCTTCAGCGGTCGTGTTCTTTTTCACACGGTAACATGTATCGAGTATCGACAGGGGTTTAGCCATCCGATATTGCGTCATGTGTTGCCGGAAAGCCGTTGTCAACGAATCGTACGCCGCCGGAGGAAGCCGAGTGATGACGGTGCCGGAATCGATTATAGATCCGGGGGTCTTGAACACCGATTGAGAGATCGATAATGTCTTGCCACCGACTTTGATTCCGATTATATCGACGTAGTACAACGAAGGATCTTTCGATTTCGATAGCAATGGAGTGAATTGCAGAGATGATCCAGCGGAGCTTCTCCCTCCTTTTCCAAAAGTTAGGGATCCGGTGTAGCTGGGAGTTGATGGAAGACAGTACGAGAAGTAATTCCCGTATTTGGAAGATATTTGTGAGACGAGAGACAAGCGAGATCGGCCAAGTCCGATCAACCCGGCCTCGCCGTCGAATTGACCTTGGTTGTTCTCGCCGCAACCGAAGAGGAAATTGGGGAAAACATCGGAGGGTGTCAATGTGAAAGTTTCGGATGCGAAGAAACCATAGGAGGTGGAGCCATCGCCGTACCGGATGCCGTAGACGCAGGTGTTGGTTGAGCAACTAGGGGGGATGTTGGTGGAGGAGGAAAGCTGAGAGCAGTGTCCGGAGGTACAGGTGATGTTTTTGTATGTTGTTGAGTGGGATGGGTCGAAGATTGGTTGTTTTTGTTTGTAGCAGAAGACAGTGCATGGTTTGCACTGAGTCCAGACGAAAGTGCTGCCTGTGTCGAAGACGAGGGATAGCTGTTTTGTGGGGGTTCCGAGTGCGACTATGACGATGTAGTTGAAGCTGCCAATTGGGATGCCCGACTTCGCAGGGATGGTGGTGGCGGCCTTGGAGTTGGAAGAGGAGGAGTCCTTTTCCAGACTGTTTTGCCTGAGTCGAGACTGGATTGAGTTGACTCAGGACTGGTCACGAGTCAGAATCTCAGTCAGTGTTGGAGGTAGGGGTGTTCGCGGATCGGTTTTGTGCGGTTTGCGGTTCGGTTTTGACCCGCCCGCATCTATGCGGTTTGGGAAAAAGTCAACCCGCAACCGCCCGCAGTGCGGTTTGCGGTTTGTGCGGATAGGGTTTGCAAATGTGCGGGCGGTTGCGGGCGGTTTGCGGTTTACACTTTTTTCTTTAAAAATTAATTTTCGAGTTTTTTTTTCCCAGCGAATTTAGGCATCAAATTCATTTTATATATTTGTGATAACAATTTTTTGATGAGTTTACAAATAAAAATTGAATATGTAATGACAGTGGGGATGACTCGGGACTGGTCACGAGTCAGAATCTCAGTCAGCGTTGGAGGAGCACTCGCTTTCTCTGGACGTAGATGAGAGCATGGACCATACTTGTGAACTACTTTCAATGACACTGTCCTCTCTTTCCTCTTATCTGATAAATAAATAAAAATAAAACAAAGTAATAAAAAAAATTTATTTTATATAACATTTTTTTTATTAATTATTTTAATTTATTTTATTTTATCATTATTTTAGTCAAAAAGTCTCTAACCAATAGTATCATACTTTAACCAAATTATAAATAACATTACAATAAAGACCATAACAGATTTTTTTTTTTTTTGGGTATATATTACGTTCATTTTTATAATATTACTAATGATTATATATATAATAATTTTATCTCAAATTATGGGAAAAAGGATTATGAAAAACTGAATTATGGAATTTAAATTGACAATCTCTTACATTTCTCATATTAAAGTATTCATAACCGATCTTTCAAAAAAAAGAAAAAGAAAAGAGAAATACATATTCATTTATAGTAGAAATAATGAGTAAAAATAAGAAAAAAATATCACATCAATGAGGTTTTGAAAAAGTAATTATAAATTAGCGAGAAATTTTATAAATATTAATAATTAAAATTAAATTTTTTTTATAAATTTATATTTTTTTTCTTCCCTCCACTGGGCTGTAAGAACCCTAAAAAAACACATTTAATCTATATTAATTTGTAGTTATTTTATATTCTGAACTTGTTAATTTTTATTTAATATTGTATTAATTTGTTATTGGGTTTAGTAACTTTCTATTTTTAACCTATTGTTTAAATTTAACAAGTATCAATACTTATTAAATAAAATAAAATATTATTAATTATTTCTTAACAATTTAAATTAAAAATTGACCCTTTATTTTATATGTATGATTAATTTTTCTAATATTAAATTATATGTATGATAAATTTTTGAAACTTTATTAACTTAATGCAATTGATTAATTATAAATATAAATATTTAAATAAAAATAAATTATACAAAGATAATGGAATTGTTCCAGTTTGATTAGTAGGAAGGATTGTTTAGGAGAGATTTATGGACAAAATATTAAAAATAATTATTTAAAATTTTATAAAAATGCTTGGGACCTAAATTTATTGCGTTGATAAATTTAAAAAATTTCTAACATCACCCTTTTTTAAACAAAAGAATTATTGCTATAACAACTTTTTTATATACGAAAGTATGTGAGAATGAATTTTATATAGTTTTGAGTAGACAGAGATCTAAAGTCAATTGTGGTCTCATACTTAGGGACCATGTGATGTTTCATTGCATATTTTAAATTTAATTTTTTAGAGATAATATAACAAATGTTATATATTGAATTGTGTAAAGTATGACCGTAAGACTGTCAAATACCATTCTAAAGACTTATCAACATTGAGGTGCGGCGTAGCCACTCTCAAGCCCATTCCTTCCACCTCAAACGAGAGGGAATTTTTTTTTTACGAACATTATTTTTAATATAATATGATATGATAATATATATAGAAAGAGTTGATGTGATTGACCTTTCATAGAATGGCTGCAAACAGAAGCTGGTAAAAGAGAGTGGACTTGAAATGTATGAAAGTGGCTTTGCATAGTCTTTCTCTCTCCACTACCCAAAGCATAGCCATTCTTTGAGGAGCAGAAAAGAAGGAAAAGAGAAACAAAGAAGAGGAAGCCAATGGTTATGGAGGAAGTTATTGGAGTGGCCATTATTGACAAAAAGCCTCCCTCTCTCGATTATGTTATTTTTCAAAGCACTTCTTGTGTTATTAGTGTTGTAAAAAGCTAGTAAATTTATAATGGATGCTCAACCTTTCACTTCCTAATAAGACAAATTTTTTGATGTTATTAAGGCCTCGTTTGGGAACCCTCACTTTTAGTCAAAAAGTCAAAAAATTACTAAAATTAGCCAAAAAGCCAACAACACATCAAAAAGTCAAAAATTCTCTTTTCTCTCTATTTTTTGCCCATCTTTTCATAAAAAGCCAAAAAGTCATCCCAAACATACTAGTTTTTTTTAGCTCATATTTTAGCCAAATAGTCAAAAAATTACTAAATTAGTCTATTCCCAAACGAGGCCTAAGCCTTCGTTTGGCATTGGCTAATATAGCCAACTTTTTTGTATTGAAACTTTTTGGCATGACTTTTTTAGCCTTGCTTAGTTTGGATTTTTTTGACTTTTTAAACTTTTTTTTAAACTTTTGTAAGAAAAAAAGTGTAATGATTATGGTTTGAATATGATATTTTGTCTTATTGACTAATGTAGTCTATTTTGAACTTTTGTGCTTTTTCAGTCCCAAAATGAAAACCAAACGAGAGCTAAGCCTTCATTTAGGAAGATTTAATTTGGCTTGACTTTTTGACTAAATTAACCTAGTTAAATTAGCTCATTTTTAAAACAATTTTTGACTTTGAATGCGATGGTTATGAAAGAAAAAGTAAAATGATTATGATTTAGATGTGACATTTTATTTTATTAACTAAATTAACTTATATTTTAATTCTTTCCAAACATGCTCTAACTTTACATTTTCTCTGGTCATCATTCACATTTCCTTCTCTTATTATTAACTTCATACAATTTCTAGTAATTTAACATTAAATTTTAACCAAAGTGAAAATAAAAAATATTTAAAACATTGAAATCTTATTTACCCATAAGGGAAAAAAAAATACTTAGAAAAATGTCAACAATTTGAATGTGTTGCAGAGATTTAAATTTATTTTTAGATTTATAACCCTATTTAGATTTTTTTTTTAGATTTAAGTGAGTCACACTTAGGATAATCCGATCAATATATTTTAAATTTATAACACTTTTTAGATTTTTTTTTTTCCCTTCTAGATATCTAGTGTTGCTGAGAGAAAAATAATTTTTAGAACTAGAAGCAAAAATTTATCCCATATTATTTCCTCTTTTATTCTTTACCTCTATATTTTTCTCTTGTAAGCAAATAGACAAAAGTAGTTTTATATTTTCCTTTGCTTCCTCTCACAAAATTCATGAACAAAATGAAACCAATTATTTACGTATAGAAAGAAAATAAGAAGAGATAAAATTATGTTAATTACTTTAGATTGGTCATATTAGCCACTTACAAAGGTCATCTAATTATTTTTTTTTCCTCCTTAAAATCAAAATTTAAATATAGCCATAATATTTTTAGTCACATTAATTTGTGTTGTGAGATATTATTTTAAAAATAATTTTTTGGAAAGAGTTTAGAAAATTTTAAGAATAAAAATTGATTGAATATTTTAAAAATAGTTTTGAAATTTGGGAGCTTGGCATGATTTGATATTTTTTTGTAGTTGAATAAATATGTGTGAGAGAAGAAGTGACTGTGATTGAAAGATGAGAAAGAAAAAGTGATTCATTGATATGTAGTAAAAAGAAAAATAACCTAAATTTTTTTAAAAAAAAAATTCAACCAAACATGTTTTAAATCCCGATTGCTCCAATATGGTCCCTTCGTATGAGTGGTGACTTCGTATGTTTGGTATACCTTTCAAATTATAATTTCACCCCTGCATTCTAATGTTATATTTGGTTGAAGTTTTCAAAAATTAATTCTAACGCCAAAATGACAAATTATTTTTTTGAATTGAGTTTTAGAAAGAGTTTGGTTATGAATTTTGAGTAGAATTTTCAATAAAGTTTTGAGTTGTGTGTTTAACTATGAGTTATAAGTTTTTGAATTAAGTTTTAAAAATTATTTTCAAAACTTATAACCAAATAATTTTTCTCATTTCATATCACATCACATCAAAAATTTAAAATTCACTTCAAAACTCTTTTCAAAACTCATAACCAAATAAATTTTCTTGTTTTAAATCATAATTCCATAACTCACAAATTTAAAATACAATTCTATTATCAAATCATAATTTTAAAATTTCACCAAGCCATACTATTATTTTCTTATTGGACTATTATTTTCTTATTGGTAATCAATTGACACCATTAATGACACTCTTGTGTGGTTGTTTTAGGATGGCCGCAAAAAAAGAAAAGGTCTACTCCTACATCGATGTTGGGAGAAAAAGTGAGAGAAACCACCAAAAAAAAAAAGAAAGAAAAAAGAAAAAAAGAAAAAAAAGAAAAGCTCTACTCCTACATCGATGTTGGGAGAAAAGGTGACGGAAAAATTGATTAAGAATGAGAATAGGATAGTGCAAAATCAATAATTGATGTGTAATAAAAAGAAAATTGACTAAAATCTTTTTAAATTTTTTTTTCAACTAAACATGTTTTAAATCTCAATTGCTACAATATAGTCCATTAGTATGAGTGGTGATTTCCACAGTGGGAAATATTATTTTCTTATTGGTAATCAATTGACACCATTTCATTGTATTTTATTAGGAGATTTGGAAAGAGATTTAAAAACAGAAAAAAAGAAAAAAGAAAAAGTGTAATGTAAATAAAATAAATTTACATTTCACCTAATTTAATATACTTTTTCTCTTTCTTTTTCTAAATTCATTCTCAAATCTCTCAATTAAATACAATATTAATAACACTTGGGCGATTGCTCTAGGTTGAGTGAAAAAAAATGTCATGTTGGTGTTATACATATTGCTTCTGTGCGTAATATCAGTGGATTGTCA